CGCAAAAAAAAAAAAAAAAAAAAAAAAAATAGACTGAGGCTGTGAGAGGGTAAACAACTTGCCTGAGGTCACACAGCTAGAGAGTGGTGGGCTGTGACTCAAAGCCAGGGCTCCCTCACTACCCAGCCCTTGCTCCTCGGGTGATAACATGTTCTTGCCACTGAAGGCGGCTGTTTTTGAGGTGGATCCTTTGTTACTCTGGTCTGGGAGGTGGCCTGAGGTTTTGTACCGCCTGTGGATGACATCAGAAAACCAGGGGCAGTTGGGGACATCAGAAGGGACACTTACTCTGTTACGCCTCCAGGCCTGAGGGTCTGAGGTGCTGGGGTTCTGCGGTTATGCCCGCCCTGCTCTGTTTACCCCAGGCCAATAATACCCCCTGCCCCTGTGCTGTCCCCTGGGTCTGTGCACACACCTTCCCTCCCTCTGCCTCCTCCCTCGGCCTCCCTGGAGGAAGAGGGGGAGGGGCCTGCAGCACTGCGGTGGCCTTGGGGCGCTCACCGAGGGCCAGTAAGGGCAGAGGGGCGGGGCGCTGCCCCGGGCATCTCTTTGCATACAGCAGCTGGTCATTTGAGTAGTGCGTTATGACAGGAACAAAACAGATACAAACGGAAAGTGAATTGAGCTGATTATGGGAGCCTGTTGCCTAGCTACCGGCCTGGCCCGCAGAGCCATTCCTGTTCAGGCAGGCTCCAGCCTGGGTGCTCACCCTGCTCCCTTCACAGCGGCTGGGTCCATGGACGGCTGCTGCTGTGGTTCTGTTCCCATGGCCTGACCTGGGAGCAAGCACAGGAGGCAGGCTGGTCCTGTCCCCCTCTGCCCACTGCCCTTGGTCCCAGGCAGAGGGAGGGCTCAGCAATGGCGAGGGTGGCTTCCCAGACTGAGGCGGACCAGTCAGGGTTTGGGCAGCAACCGAGCTCTAGGATCAGGCCTTCCTCCTTTTCTGAGGGCAGACAGGAGACCTGATGAATGGGACCCTGGGACACTCACCTCCCTCATCCCCAGTCTCCAGAGGTCCCAGGGGCTGAGCTGGCTTTAGTCCAGTTATCGGCCCTATTAAGGATGATAGCTCTCCTTTGGCTAAATCAGTACCTAGATTGAGTTTTCTCATGGTGTTTCCCCTCTGAGTAGAGGAGGTGACCCCACAGGATCCCACTGCCCCAAGAGGCAGCTGCAGCTGGGGTTTCACACTGCTTGGGCATCCACTGTGCCAGTTGTCAGGTGCTGGCACACCTGCACTTTTTTCTAATACCTTATCTGACCCATGTGAGGCAGGGATTATTAACCTCAGCTTACAGAGAAGGAAACGGAGACCCAGAGGGGCTTGTTCAAGGTCGCATAGCTGGTGGTAGAACTAGGATCCAAGCCCAGATCTTGTGCATCCACGTGTGTGCTTGTCCCCTGCTTCGGCCGCCTCCTGGGGCTTCTGCTTGGAGAGGGCCCTTCGGGGAGGGGCGGGCCCTTCAGCTCTCCTCACATCCCTTCCATCACTTCTCCCTCCAAACTAAAGCCCCCGTCTCCTTGCTCCCTAGAATTGCTCACACCTTAGCTTGCTTTCTCTTTCTTTCCCTCATTGTGGGGCTTTTTATAGGACAAAAAGAAAGGGGGCTTGGTTAAGAGAAGAGACTAGGTGTTCCGTGGCCCAGGCAGAGGAATGAAACCGAGGCCTTCTAGGAAGGACATGCAGGGCTTGCTTCCTGCTCACACCCCATCTGAAGGCTCCAGCTTCTCCGGCCTGGGTGTTGCCTGGGACCAGCCAGTCGGTGGGCATGACAGGCTTCTGAGTGAGGGCCAGGACTCGCAGTGCCATATGCCCTCTGGGTGAGGAAGGGCCAGGAACCTGAGCCCAGGAGACTGGGTGCCCCAGCTTCCGCAGCACCCTTAGGAGGGCAGTGCCAGCATGCCCCAGGGCAGCCCCTCTACCGCCTTCCCAGGAACGGGAGCAATGTTAGGCCAAGGGCTGC